ACAAGGCTATCCTTAGGTATCTATTCCTAAAGAATCCTAAATATTGTTTACAAGAATAAAGGGAAGAGAGGTGTCTGATACTTATTCTAACTTGGGGAAATTAGTGAGGTTTATATATCTGTAAGCTAAGCGACTAAGCGACTAAGTGACTATATAGTTAAGCGACTAAGCAACTAGGCGACTAAGCGACTGAGCGACATGTTAATAATAATACAAAATAATAATAATAATATTCTAAAATAATAATTAATAAATAATAAATAATAAAATAATAAATAATAAAATAATAACTAATAATTAATTCATTCTATAACAATATTTTTGGTAGTTTTGAGGATTTTGTTAGTAGTACGATTTATTGCTGCTGATAGTAGATTTTGTCTAGATCTCTTTTTTTCAGCCATGTATAAGTTAATCAATATTTTTTTTTCTCTTATGTAGCACCCAAGAATATTGCTCTGGTTGGTGTTATTTTTTGTGATAGTATAGTGGTTTTGAGGATTTTGTTAGTAGTACAATTCATTGCTGCTGCTAATAAATTTTGTCATTAGGATTTTTTTTTTTATTATATATAAATCAATTAATGCTTCTTTTTTTTTTCTTATATAGCACTCTAGTTGGTATCGCTTCTTTGTAACAATGTGATTGTCTTAAGAATTTTATGTTTGTTGCTACTGATAATAAATTTTTTTTTTTTTCACCTGTGTACAAGTCAACTAAAGCTTCTTTCTTTCTCTTATATAGCTTCCAAGAATGATGCTCTGGTTGGTATTATATTTTTTGTGATCTTGAGGATTTTGTCAATAGTATGATTTATTATTACTGATAGTGGATTTTGTCTAGATTTCTTTTTTTTGGCTGTGTATAAGTTAACTAATGTTTCTTTTTTTCTCTTATATAGCATCCAAGAATGTTGCTCTAGTTGGTGTCATTTTTTTTGTAATACTATAGTGGTCGTGAGGATTTTGTCAATAGTATGATTTGTCGCTACTGCTAATGAATTTTGTTGTTAGGTTTTTTTTTTCCACCTATATACAAGTTAACTAATGCTCCTTTCCTCATATATGTCTAAAGATATTGCTCTGGTTGGTATTGTTATCTGTTGTGTAAATATTATAAATTAGAGTAGTTAAATCATTAGTATGTAATTAGATGATTAGGTTGGCCAAATCAGTAGTAGTTAGAGTGCTTAAATTATTGATAGTTAGATAGTTGTTTTAGAAATATTTTGACATAATGTGTATAGTTATTTTTTAATAAAGTTATTTTTTTTTTTTTTTGAATTGTCGATAGGTTTTGTCATGACTAATCTTATTTATTAATATTTACAATAATATAAACATATAAATTTACAATACGAAGTCTGGCTTCACTCGGTTCCATATTGCAGTATGAAACCTAACTCAGGCCTAAATGTGACTCTGTCTTACCAGATCACAGATAACTGGAATTATCCAAAATAAAAAAAGAAAATGAGCTATGACTAAAAAGAAGAAATAAACAAAAGAGAGAAAAGAGTGAAATACAAAATAAAAAAAAACCCAAAAAAGAAAAAACAGGAAAAATAAAAAAAAATTTATAAAACTAGAATAAAGTATAAAGAGGAATTACACCTCTCTATGCAATAAAAATGCACTATTATAATCTGTGCAAGGCTAAAAAATTATATAACAAATGCAACGATTGTATATCTCTAATGTAAAGCTTCGCCTTAACATACAAAGTTTTTCTGACTTATGACCGCTTTCGGATATCTCTTTAACTGGAGGTCCTGATCCAACTTCTCTGAAGTAGCACCATATTTATAAACAGACATGTCACATGGTTGTATTCTACTGAGTCTGTTCGAATTTAGAAAGTAAACAATGCCGATCTTTTGGAGGGGTAAGCCAAATCCCTACTTTTTGTAGAAAATTTTGAAAGACCGATGGGAGGGTAAAAAAAAAAAAAGAGAAGGGCCACCAAAACCAAAAGAAAGAGTGTGGCTTTAGAAAAAAAAAGTTTTGCTGTTTCCCCTGTATTCTTCTTTGAAGTAATGATCTAGAAACTTCGTCAATGAAAGTAAGCTCTTTGCCGCACTCCACCAAGATTTTTTATACAAGGGTGCCTCTTGCTAGTTATCTTGTCTAATAATGCTCTTGGCTTGCATGCCAAATATCTCTTTAGAGGAGTCCCACACAGCAACATTGACCTCTAGACAAATCGTAACATAGGCCACGACTCTTCAACAAAAAATTTTATTTTTCTATTAGTGGGAAAATTTGGTTTTAGTGATCGTCGGAAAGAGTTTGTGCTATTACTCAAATAAAGTTTTTAATTAATAAAAAAAAAAGCATTTAATTAATAAAATCAAAATTTTTATTAGGATGGCCATTAGAATTGCTCTTAATTTATTTATTAATTTTAAATTTAAAAATCTAAAATAGTACTATTAAAAATTCAACTATATATTATAGTAATACAGTAAAACTGAATTATAATGTTATGTTCATACTAATTATCATGATATGTTCGTCCCAACACCGTGCTATATTCATCCCAACTATCGTGCTGTGTTTATTCTAACTATTGCTACTCAACTATCGTCCCAACTATCATGCTACATTCGTCTTAACTATCATGCTATTCATCCTAATAATTATGCTATATTTGTCCCAACTACCATGCCCCTATATTTGTTCTTATTATTATACTACATTTGTTCTTACTATCATGCTACGTTCGTTTATTGCAGAGACGAGTTCTTCTGGTTGTCTTTGAAAAGCCGACACTATAAAAAGTATAACACAGATTAGCAAGATTAAGCTTCTACGCTTTAAATAACTTCTCGAACTTCGACTCTCATTTACCTTTTTGACAAGAGTTGATTACTTTTGATTATTTAAATTGGACGTATATTCGAATATCGATTAGCAGTAAATTATTGTACGTATATATGCGGCCAAAATTATATTAATAAAAAATTTCTATTTTGAGCAAAAATCGGGCGTTACTTTTGTTGGCTACTGTACATAAATTTTTTTCATTAACCGATTAATGCCGAAATTTTATTGGCTAAAAAAAATTGATCATTTTCCTCAATTGCAAGTATGACGTATACACTTACGGGAAGAATTTTATATTCCGTAGATTTTATAAAAAAATTTTTATTTGTACAGTTTAAAATATTTTTTGAAATTAAACAGTTGTTAATTATTAAAAAAAAAAAAAAAAAAACCTTCAAATAGATATAATCTAGATATTCCTGCACCTATAATGATATATTTAAGATTTTTTAACTGTTTAGTATTTAAGAGATAGTTGTGATAAAGTTTTGACGTCTAATTGATTAAAGAATAACAACGAAATAGGTATATACAGTATAAAACTGTTATTCTCGATTCACTTTACAAAAAAAAAAAAAACTTGAAAAATAAGTATCTTATCACAAATTTATGTTAGTGTCCAAAAGTCATGAATATAATATCTATTATCTAAGTGCAATAGGCATATTTGTTAATTGCTGAATCAATCAATATTACATACAATATTATAAATACATTGAAATATTGTGAATGAAAAATGCAAAGTGACTTGTTATAAATATTATGTTTCTCTATACGTATCTAGTAAAGTCAAAAACTGGTTCTAAACTTAACACTGTATTACTTTCTATACTATCACTTAAACCACTACTATTTGGTTTTTCACTGTTCCCATTGATTGACGATGCTATAATCCGGTCTTTAAATCGTTTGATCTGTCTTAATCGATCTTTCCAATTTGATACATATTCCATATTTCTTTGTCCTCCACTTTTTTGAAATACTTGAGCAAATATATTTGCATGTAAAGCAGTTTGACGTGCAAATGCAGGTAAAGCCTCCGAGGATACCATTTTAAATTCTGTGATGGGTCCGATTTCTGGCATATCCAAGCGGCGTTGCATTTGAATTTTAAAAAATGAATTATTGTTTGTAGATTCTGTTTGATTTCTTAAAGAGTGTGGTGAAATCACAATGTTTATGTAATTAAAGTGACTAGGTAACGTATCAAACGCGTACTCATGTCCAGAATCATTGTAAACGATGGTAACGTAATCATTACCTATATGTCGCTTTTTGAGACTACATTGTGGATCACGTTCTAAATCTGTTGGCATTAACGTAGCGCAATGGAATATCACCTGTGTGATATCGTCCTCCCAATAGTATGCATATTTACCGTCTGAGTCATATTCAGTGTCAAGTCCTCCTGTGTAGACATGTTTACAATTCTTTAATCGAACCAAAGTTCCCAAATTGTTCAAAAAATTTATATAATCTTGAGAACCATGTATATTAGATAGAATATCTGTTTCGTTAGTTTGATCTTTACCAACATATAATACACCTATTTTGTAAAAATCAACAACCGGCGTAAGATCCAACATCGATAGTGCACGAGTTGTGGAATCATCGTCCGGTAAAGGTATAGGACCTTCTTTAGATATGAGATCAGGATAAGGGGAAAATTGTAAAAACAAAAAGCTTGGATCCACGTGAGGATCATCCTTACGATATATGCTGTTTATTTCGTTTGATAAATTTGAAGTGAAAACTTCATTTATAACATGTTGCTGTTGGTTTGAATAAGTCGTGAAAGGAGTTTTATTGATATCGGAAGATGAATCCAGCTGCGTCTCATTAACGTGACCTTGATCGATGTGATTTTCTAATGGTTCTGTGTGTAATGAAATGGTTTGTTCTGCATCACCGTTTTCTGATTTGACTACAGTAAGCTTTTCTTCAATTTTTAAATCTTTCCGAACTTCTACATCCAATGATTTCTCATCAGATACAATACGAACGTCTGACGTTTCCTGTTGAGAAACTCCAGTTATGACCTCTGAATGACAAGACATCATCTCAGTTACACTAGTCGGAAGTGGGACCACATTTTGCGAATCAGGATCATAATGAGCCATTAATGTTGCTGGTAATGTAATATGGTCTACATCATCTGATTTATTACGGTTTTCCAGTTTACATAAAAAAGCAACTGTCCCAGAAGGTCTGCGTATTGTAATCTCAGCCCATCCGAGCGATTTCATGGTTTTTATTGTCAAGAAAGAATTTCCTTGAACCCATGTAGACAATTTTACCTTATCTTTTCTTTGATCTGTTAATACTTGTGTTATAAATGATGGTTCGGGCTTAGGTTCAGGATTAGCAAAAGAAAAACGTGCAAGCATATCGAAACACGTTTCAGTTTGTTCATCAACATTTTGTGCAGAGCCGTTTGCAACTAATAGACCGTGAACGATAAATGTTACATATTTCCGCCGTTCTGATAATCTCAGCGACATAAACCAAAGGTATATAACATGATATGCCATAATACGTTCATATTGACTCAATGCATTAGTACTTATGGAATTTGTATCAGTAGTTGTCGCTTGTTGTCCATGACTATATTGAATATATTGCACCGCGATACCAAATACACGTTTGTAATCAGATTCAGTAAAATTTACATACAAATCTGGAAGTCTGGCCAATCCCGAAAGAAATTCAAGAATATGAACACTCATTGTGCTTGTTGTTATGATCTTTGACAAGCTATCGAGCGTATTCTGAAGGTGCTTTGTAGCTGAAAGAGGTAACTCGTATAAACAAACATTGAGAGCATGTGTACAAGGTTTTGCGCTATGTCCCCATTTTTGTAAACCAACATTAAACGCCAAAACTAACTCATCTCGATGCTTCTTTATAAACAGGTTGCGATAGCTTATAAGAATTGTCAATATTTGATACGCCATAACATATACATCCACCTTTTTAATATCTGATGGAAGCAAGATACTATCTGCTAATCTGTTGTTCAAAATCCAATCACACAAACAACTCCTTAAAGCAAGAATTTCGTCAGATGCAGCGCAAAATAAGTGTTGTTTACTTAATTGTGATGGCAGATGGTATAATATATATGAATATATATCCCAATCCTTTTCATTTGTAAGGATATCTACTAGGCATCTTAAGTAGAGATTTATTGGTAGAACAATTTGCCTAAATCGACATTCAGTCTCTGTTCCATTCGTGTGTGAGGTACTATCTTGAATATCAAGTGTATCAGATTCTGAACTACTTTCATTACACATCTTTTGAGCCTGATCAGATTTTATTGATGATAATTCATTAGAAAGAACATAGGGACTCGGATGATTAGAAATGAGTTTAAAGTTTAAAGTCTCAGGTATTTGCCACAGGCGTTCTTGTGGACTTGCGATAACATTTTCTTCCGGGATACTTTTATTTTCATCTGGTGTTAGAGATTTAATAAATTCTTTTCTATCAAGAAACGAGCTCGCCATATCCTTTAAACTACCTCTTCGCTCAATTTTCTTTTTCACATTGTTTTTCCCTGAATTAGCACTGGTATTACTAGAGGTAGATGTTGGTAAGGAATTTTGCTCGGTCATAACTCCATCACGATGCGAAATATGTACTATATCTAAATTTTCAATAAAATAAATTCTATGGTCGTTATCAGCACTCATTCTAACCAATAATTGTAATAAAGTAAATCGACAAATCATGGGATATGTTATGTCACCAAGGATTTTTACGATTTCAGTGAAAACCTCAATGCTTTCATCCAAGAAACCAGCCTTGTATAAACAGTGTTGAAATACGTCAATAAGACCTTCGGTAGAGGAGAAACATTTACAAGTTTGTGAATGCATTAATCGTGGTTTAGCATTTGATTGTTCATCAATACAAATACAACGACAACATTGTATTAATATCTTTAATAAAGCAGAGAACCAACGGTTTGGAACCTCTTTGAGAATAATAATCAAGAATTCCATTGAAGAATTAGATAAATTTATATCAATCTCTTCAGGTAAACTAGTCAACATAGGAACTATAACAGCTTCTAAGAGCTTTTCTTGATAAATATCCTTCGTAACCTCATAGACTTCCATCGTCATTGCTAAAATTCTCTGACAAACATTAGATGATGATCTCTTAACATAGAATGTATTAACCACATCAACTAACATTACAAGCCAATCAGGTGAAGATGGATACAAAGCATGTTCTGCTTCATAATAGTCAAGAAGCATAAGAATAGCATTTTCAGAAATATAATCCCTAAGATCCTGAATTAGACTTATAAAACGTGAAGTAGATCCATCAAATGAGGAAGATGTGTGTAAAGTTTGAATTTGGAGTATTAATTTACTATAGTTTATTATAACTGCTAAGTCACTAGATTGGTTCAAATCAAGATTTATAGCATCATCTAATACAAATTTTTCTCTTTCTTTCAAAGCTTCACACTCTAGAAAATGATATCGCGTATTATCTAAAATATCTAATATGATGTCCCATTCCAACAAGACAATACTCTTCTCAAATTTTGTGATGAGATCACTAATCTGAACTAAAATTTCAGAATGAACTATAGGATCTCGATAAGATTTTGTTGATTGATTCATTGCCGAAAGGGCAACAGAATATATATGTGAAAAAGAGTCGATCTTTTCCGAACCCCATAACGCCCATCCTAAAAACAATATAGATCCTCGTAATAGATTTGTTGATTCAACAGTTACTACTTCAGCATATAAATTATCGCATAATATTTTGATAGTACCATAAGCGCAATGACTTTTTAACAAATTACGCATTATATGCCAGCTTGTTTGTGAAATCGATCCATCATGATTAACTTTATCGCAAAGCACATTTACATATGATTTTAATGAAGAAGAAGGTACGTAACCATATCGTACCACTATATCCCAAAAATTAAGACAACATTCTATGTCCAAAATATCATTTGATTTCCTGCAAGCGATGGCAATATCCTCAATAAGTCGAGAAATATCATGTTCTTCAAATTGAGAAAAATTGAATTTGACTACGTTAATTAATAGGTTAACTACAGATTGCAACCTCGTCGTAAAGGTTGGTTGTGAAAATATATCAGAATCTTTTTCACCAATGGGTTCAGTTATTAAAAACTGAAACATAATATTTGTCAGCCCTTCTTGTTGTTGAACTATTATATTTTTATTGTCCAATTGTTGTACTGTTTCGTTAACCCATTCAGAAAGTAATTTGACCAAATTTTTTTCAAAGGAAGAAATATTTCTTCCATCCTGGCATAGTTCTCTCAATGCCATTAATCTAATTTCAAAATCTTGGTTGTTATTATGAGATTTTATACAATCATAAAAAATAGTCCTAAGAAAACCTAAATTATCACTATGTTGACCTCTTATGCAAGAAATCATAAACTGAAATACAACAGTCCTTGCTTCGGCCTTATCAGAATTTAATAGTTCGCTAACACAAACCCATACTTCGGTTATATCAGAAAAAGTATATTTTGTGACCATATCACATAGTTCTCCAATAAGTCTAATGCGAGCTTCTATAGTGCGAGGTTTTTGTAATTCTTGCACTAAAAGTTTTGTATCTATTGGACGACCTTTGGGACCGTTTTGTGGACGATCATCGTTGCTTTCCGAAGTAGTTGGAGGGGTTAGACCTAAGGCGTCTTCTAAGGAAGAAAATTCAGGCCGCTTTATTATCCCACGAAGAGAGAAGCCCGAAGCACGTTTGGACTTTGCATCCTGTGCCATTATTAGTATTGTGAATAGAAAGACACCCCTTATAAATATCTATGAACTAGAGATCGATCCCGTGATTTTGTGGCCCATGAGATTTCTTTCTTTTTTCTAATGGCAACGTTATAATTATTTATTGATAATCTAATCAGATTATTAGCACAAATTATTAACGTTAAGTTGATACGTATTTTTTCTTTGTACGTGCGTATTTTTGCAAATGATAAGATTAAATGTTACAGCATTAATTAAAATGTTATGGGACATAGTAAATCATATGTTCCATAACGTGATTTTCAAAGCAAAGACCCCAATACTGCAATATAAGAATTGACTTTCTAATAATAACTGGAACAACCGGAAAATTTTTCGATGATCTAATAAGTTACCTAGTTCGGAATCAATAAATTACCTACATTGGGAATTTATCTACTCGGTTATCGAATATTTTTCTGTGTTGTAAGGAGTAATCATAAGAAGCGATGTGTAGATTCATTTCGAGTTGGTCTTTTGGACTTTTTTTAATCAAATTTTAAACTCAAGGGACCTCAAAATTTATATTATACGTATAGGCGGAAGTTTGATCCGGTTTGATCAAACTAATTTGTGTAATGATCTGTGATGTGCAATGCAAGTTTTAAGTCTTGCATTGCATAATGCAATATTATATAATTTAATACATTATGTATTTTTTATATAATATATTTTATAAATTTTTTTATCCATGCCGATACCATATGGCAGGATATTATGAAGAGAGTATCATCGCTATTGCTTGACATCTTATCTAAGGTAGTGGGGCAGTATTATACCAATAATTTTTTTTTTTTTTGTAAGCGTTAGGTTTTTTTTAGAGATTAATGCAGTAATGTGATTTTTTAACAAAGAAATGTGATTTTTTTTTTAATTTTCACGTTACACTTGATTTTGGCTGAATAATGAAACTTGAAAAAGAAATTGGTAAATGCGTATTAGTTATACGTATTAACCTATTAGAAATATTATTAAATCGGCCATTGATTTATACCCAGGCTCTTACAAATATGATCTTGATACATTGGGTGTGCAGTATATTATGTAAATCAAAACTACTGTACGTATCATATAGTATATTTCTGTATTTTGCTAAAAATTGGGATATTATACGTACAGTATAACTGTTATTGAGTTGTATATTTTTTACAAGATCCCCAAATTTCAGGGTCGGAATGCCGAAATATAGCTGTACCGGTTGGCAAAAGCTATAGTAAAATTATCGGTTGGGCACTTTTTACTTAATAAACGACTATTAAAATTCTTAGTGATCTTGGGCAAAATTGATCAATTCCGGCATATCCGATCAGGGTTCCGATGCATTCTGACCCGGAATTTTGGGGATCTGGGTTGTATAATGTAAATATAACTAATTGGATTTATAAATACTATATATATAGAATACATAGTTTGGCCGAGTTTAATAGCTATTTTACATTCTGTATATACAGTATCTACAGTACAATATCTTTTATAGAATTCTTTTTTTTATAATAAACCTTTTCTAATTAATGATGTAAACGGCTTGAGCTAAGTTGCAGGCCAAACGGCTAAGCCGAGCTGTTTAACGGCTCGACGATAATTCTACAAAGCACCGGCTCTAAAAATGGCAGATCTTATCCACATAATCATTGAATAAAAATAAGAAACTTTAAAGGAAGCAGTTTTTCGACTACAAATCTCTTGCTAATCTTTATAAACAATTATACTCTGAATTATACTTGCTAGCAAAATCCAATCTGTTTGTAAATATATAAAGATTATTAAGTTTTGAGATATCAGCTTGGCCAGAGTTTGAGAACATTATTCATTTGTACAAAGCCCCTGTGTATATAATTCTTTATAAATCTTGATCTTGTATTATTTATCTCTTCTTTGCAGTCTGTTGTTTTTTTTTGTTGTAATTATGTGAATAAGTAAGATATATTTAACGACTATATACCGTAAAGTGCTGACTGATGCATCCAGGTATTTACAAAAACTTGAGATTACGTGATACTGTATACTGTTTTACACCAATTGGTATTCTCCAAGCATAAAAATATACTATTTTTCGAGATATAATTAGGGATGAGTCGGTCTTCGTGAAGACCAGGACCGGACGGTAAAAAACCGAAAACCGAATTCTCGGTCCTTGGTCGGTCCTAGTCTTAATTACAAATCATGCTTGCTTATAAAAAAAAATTGATAATTTTTAAGAAAATAAAACGTAAAAGAATAAATTTTTATAATTTTTTCCATTTCCTCAACATATTAAAATTTCTTGAGAATCTAATTCATCCCAAAGTCTAAGTAATAATAAATACTATATATCATTAGATTAGGGTTAAGATTAGGGTAAAAGAAGGAATTTATAAAGCCTGCTTGATTATCTAATGAAATTATAGCTAAAGCTTAAGCCATCATTTTAGCAGCTATAATTTAGGTTATGACTATTAAATGTGGCTAAAATTATAGTCAATGCATACTTAATTAAGCCAGATAAAATGACTATAGTCTAAGTCACAGTTTAAGCTAGTTGAGACATGGCTTTAGCTACTATAGCTTATTATAGCTTAAGCTATAATCCCAATTTTAATGATATGTATAATGTATATGGGGTCTTTGCCTTGAAATCACGTTATGGGACATAGTAAATCATATGTCCCATAACGTGATTTTCATGGCCATATACTTTATATTTATAATAAAAATAATAAATGATAGAATTAAAAGTCCGAAGTCTCAATTTCTCTTGGCAGCACTTATACATATTTAATAAGTTATTCCTCAAATATTCTCATAAAATAGTTAGTATGTGCGTATATAATCGTTGATTTATTTTTACTCATATGACAATAACAGATGATAATATATGTATGTACATTATGCTCAAACGTAAAAAATGACTTCGAGTTATAAATAAAGCCTATGACTGCTATTCTTATTCTGGTTTAAGCCATGATTTAAAGTCATAGCGATAGCTTGGGTTACAGCTCAAACTGTTAGCTTTGTTAGGTAAATCTATGACTAAAGTTGGGATTTTGTAAAGATGCACACGTACAAAATTATCAGCTGGCTGATTTCATTTAGGGATTCCGATCCGGAAATTTCGAAGTTAACAACACCGGGCTCCGGTAACTTATCGATTCTGAGTCGATAATTTATTTTGTTGTCTCAGAAATAATGCAAGTATACAGAAGTACCAGTAAACTGCAATTAGAGTAACGACTTATCTCGGCTCGAGGTTGTTAACCCTTGGTTAACATTAGCGTGAGCAGAGCCGAGTCAGCCGGAGCTCACCAGAGCAGCTTCCCAGAGTTCGGGTTAATTATCGACGTAACTACAGAACTAACTACAGGAAAGTTGTTTGCAGTTGATATGAAAATTAGTGGGACACTTGATAAATTTGCATGTTTCACGAAACCCTTCGGTTTCGTTTTATGAACCATCTAAATCTTCGGAAACTACGTCACTGCCTTTGGAACTCCAATCCGAAAATAGCGTGTGATTTCCGAAGAGTTAGATGGTTCACAAGTGTCTCACTAATTTTCAAATCAGTTGTAATAGTATAAAGTATAATGCTAGAACGATAATCGACCAAGCTTTGAGGGCCGCCCTGACGAACTCTGCCAGCCGTTTGTATCACAACCAGTGATTCTTTAATTCACCAACTCTATATGAATAAGACCCTGATAATACGTAAACATTACTACAGCAAGACGTATTCGCGTAACGATCTTTGTTGATTTGGTTGGCCAATGATCATTTTTGTGCATAAGTAAGTACGTGTTTGGTTACACGAAACATTTTTTGCATAACAAATAATAAATGAATGAATTGTTTTTACTATACGTACAATAATCTCGTCTAACTTAAGCTCTACCAAATATTAATACGAAATAGCTTTTTGAAATTTATATATGTTTTTATACATATTTTCAATTTATTGATTTCCTTTTTATATTTGAAAGAACGTTCAAGACACGTTTTTCATTTGTTAAATTTTACATTTTTGTCAGTATATTTTTAAAATCACATTCATTTCTTGGTTAGCCTGTTCTAATGCTGAAGAAACTTTTTAGAATCAACTTTTATAAAAATGAAGAAGCTTGTTGTAAATGCAGATCAGCTTAAAATCCGGTTACCAGGTTTTGTATTCTGTTATTTCTTATATCAACAGAAGATTCAGTTCTTGTTTTATGTAAATTAAGCTTAGTGCATGGTAATAGCGAAAGAAAATTCTAAGAATTAAAAACTTTAACTAATCTCAAATATTTAACTAAATAAACTCATTTATCTTATATTGAAATTCTTTAGAGGTAACGGGAAATACTGTACTTACAATTTGTGGCAAGACTAAAAAGGTTAGAATGAAGTCAGAACTATCGTGCCGGGACGATGATACGATCGACTTAGTTTTTGTTGATAGAAAAAATGACAGTACTGAACGTATTTCGTTAGTTGATGCGGGAGATAATAGTAAACAAATGAGAAGAATGGATGATGTCTCTAAAAAGGGACGCAATGAAAGCAATCATACACATGAAGATATGCATAACGAAATTTCTAAAATCACTGAGAATAATGATCGTAGCGTAGAACAAAGTATTTTGACAAATAACAATAGCGATATCGGCGAGGGGAGATCATGCCTAAAAGGAGTTAAGGAAATGAATAAAATTAGTATTTTGAGAAATTTTAACACGAGGAGGTCTGTACGAAGTGTCAGTGAAGTTAGCTCGACACTAAATGATGATAGTGATGATTCTACTATATGTGAGGATCCAGACGACTCAGATTATGATGAGATATTAGAAAAGGTTGAAACTCAAAGTAATGAGAGTGTTAATTATGAATGCCATACAAGTAAGTTTACAATTAGAGTCACTAATAATATTTTGAAAGAACATTATCTCTACATATAATTTGAATGTTAGCTACATTATTAAATATTGTACTTGAATTATATATTATGTAGAAGATTGCGAGCATGTTACTCAATCGCTTGTTGATACTTCTTATTACGACCAATCTGGAACCGAAACTGAGAGTCAGAGTCACTCCATCGATGAAAACCATTTTGCTCCAATAAAGGAAGGTTGCGATGACGACAGCGATGCCATTGGGGATAGGAAAATATTTGTTTGCACTTCACCTGGATGCAATAAAAGTTATACATATTTAAAGAGTTTTGTGATTCATCAACAAGCTCACAACGGGAAGAAGCCATATGTATGTGACGAACCTGGATGTGGCAGAGGTTTCAATACCTTGAACAGCTTGAAAAACCATGCGCGCGTGCATAGTGGTGAAAAACCATTTAAATGTGATTATCCTAATTGCCAAAAGAGATTTACCCATTTGAGGGGTATGGCATGTCACAAAAAACGTCAGCATTCCGGCAAAACAGGTGGTTCGAAAGCTAAGCGGCGTAAAATGAAGCGATAATTATTTGGGTGTTATGTAATGTATGTAATGTGTCCAAAGAGTTGAATATGGTGATAAAAATTTAATAGAAAAGCTTAATATATATACAAATTCTAGAAACCTTATTTTGTATATATTTTTTAAAGCATTGCGTGTAACTATATGTTTAAAAATAAAGCTTTAGTATAGTATTATATTTATTATATTTGAAAAATATTGTATATAGTATATATGTTGTGCCTCAGATCACAGTTGACGCACCTCCGATTCAGATCGAACTACCCCAGCAGCACCGGCAGATTTTCACTGATCTGCAATCTAGAACATTGTCACTAAAAAATCTTTGAACTCGTATAAGTTAAGGTTAGGGTCTATGCTAAACTTAGAGTTAGAAGGTTTGTTAAGTAAAATTGCTCAAGGAAACTTTTTTGTTAGAGCGCAGAAAGTGGTTTCTTATGCAAATTTTCATGATATGAGCGATTTATGAAAAAGCGAACGTTTTGTTGTGATCTTCCTGATTGTGTTACGTTACATCAAAACGAGACTCGTTATTGGATAAGACATGTAAATCGAATGTTCTAGATTGCAGATCAGTGAAAATCTGTCGGTGCTGTTGGGGTAGTTATTCAGATCGTCAGGTGAGGTGCGTAACTACGTATTGATCTACTATTGATCTGCAGTAAGAGAGTAAAATAAATTGAATAATAACTTGGACGTTTTTTTTATTCTTGCTTTTTTGAATCTCTTCGATGTTTTTTTTCTTATTGGTAGCATCCAGCACCTCTATTCTTTTCTTTAAATTTCTTTTCTCGAATTTTTGTTGCACATTCTATTTCCAATTAATATGCACTTTTTTTCTATACATATGGGCTGCCATTAATAGAAATAAGGTAAATTAACAATTTAAAAAAAATCAATACCTTAACTTTCACAGCCAATATCTCGATTGATTTTGAGGCTGTCTTGATAATTCATTATTCAAAAGAAAGCATACGATCTAAGCTTTTTTTGAATATTAAATCATTAATATAGCCTTAAATTTCATCGAGATATGAGATATGAAAGTTAAGACATTAATTTTTTTTAAAATGTCAATCTGCCTTATTTCTATTGACGGCAGCCCATATGGTTTTGTTTTTTTTTCTAAATTTTCTCTGCATACTCTTTCTGTTTAAGTCTTCTCGGCACGTTCAACTTCAATAATACATTTTATCCTATATATATATATTTTTTTGAATAATGACTAATTAATAGGCTATGCATCTCATCTAACAATCTACATCTGAGGTGCGTCAGCTATGATCTGAGGCAAGCATTAGTCTGAGGCACAACATATATGTATATATATTCGCTTAAATTTGTAAGTATCATTAAATATAATAAAGTAAAATTGAGATATCAGCTAGCAAATACCCATACTAAACTATCAAAAATCTATCTGAAAACTTTAAATATCTGATCCAAAATCTATATATACTAAGCTAAAACTTATATATATCCCTTAAATTGTAACACAGGCAAATTTGCCTGCGAAGATTTTTATTAATTTTTTTAATATTTAAATTTTTTAATAAAATTTTGAATATTAATTTTAGCTATATACTTACTAAGTAAAAAATA